ACCCAAGAGTTTCCCCACAATCTCCCGTATCGTTCCACAAGAGAGAGGGCGACACGCCCATCACCCTCCCCAGGGACCGAGGTAAAAGGGAGATTTTGGCGACAGATGTTACAAGGATCATTCGCCATGGCTTCCTCCAGGTGCGAGTTAGCAACACGTCAAGGAGCTTAAGCAGCTTGGTGTCTCTTTCCCTCATCAAGTTGACTAGCATCGCCCCTTGGAGGGGTCTGACCACAGACATGCCCTGCAGCTAGTTTTTCATTGTACGTTATTTCTCGCTCTCGACAATGTCTTGAAGGCTGCATTCGTAATCTCAAATCTATCTTCCCATTTCATTGAGAAAACATTCTCGAGTAGAAATCCTTTTGGTTTCGTCTCCTTCATTACTCTTAGGACATCCACACATTTTCAGTACAATTTTTCCTCTCCCCGAAGTTCAGAGATAGCCAAATCCACATGCATTCTTCCGGGGTCATTCCTCCCGGCCTTTCTCAGGTCCTGCGAATTCCGCATGCATATCAACCTCCGCCCTTTCTTGCCCTTTACTTAATTGACTCTTCATGTACAATGCTTAGTTCACCCCTTAGCCACTTCTCTTCTTTTCAAGCTTATACGAGCCAATTACACAGCCAACTCTCAGTCTGCCAGTTCTTTTCTTAGATTTATGCAGAATCAATCACACCAGCCCTTTCCTTCTTGGCTATCTTGCCAAGCCATTTTTCTCAAGTTCATACCATGTCACTTGCTCAAGTCCTTTCTGCTCTGGCGTCTTGTCAGGCCCCTTTTTCTCAGGCCCATACAAAGCCAATTACAATATTTTTCTGTTCCGGCCATCTTGACAGGCCCCTTTTTCCCAAGCCCATGCAAAACCAATTACAAGTCTTATTTTCATGCGTATTGATTGGAAGATGGCACACCTTCCCCCCACTCAAAACGCGATGTCCCCATCTCGCGACTGGTTCTCACTCGGAGGTACGCAGACCTTTGGCCCGCGAACCGCAAGTCAAAGACACAAGCCCGTCCGCTTCACAAAAGGAAGAGCGATCAGTTCCTCCCCAGCGAACGATGCCTCATCCTTCTACCCGGTTCGACCTTTGTTCTCTTACGTGGCGAGCACCGATACCAAGGTTCCTCCTCACGTCTGTCAGGTAGGTCCAATCCAAGCCTGCCAGGCCGTAAGAGTGTTCCTCGCGAATCGCTCCTCCCGAGTGGTGATTTTTTGGATTCCGGCCTCTTTCTTTCAAGAGAGTTGAGGGCTCTCGGTCAGTCCGCGAGTGAAGTTACGAAGACCTCAAAATCTGTCCCGAAACGGTTGTAATGTTTCGGCAGGGCAGTGTCAATGCCCCGTGGTGGTGGCGGACTCCACCCAGTACCTCGCCAAGTCCCTCTTCTTGGACAGTGCCGCCCAACTTAGTGCAGGCAGCCGAGGTCCGATCCAAACGGCCATGGCACCCCTCTATGACATGGCGTGTGGTTGGAGAGGACAAAATAGACTATATGAGAATGACTTCCTTGCCCATTTGGCTCTCTCGCCCTTTGACATTTAGGCATTCAACAGGAGGCGCAATTTGAACTCCCCGACTAGAGCTCATTGTCGGAGGTGGTTCCGGACGTCCCGCACCGATCCAAGTGGTACGTGCCTTAGTCCTTTAACCCTCATCCTCTCGAAGAGGAACAAGTCGCGCTGAGACTTTTTCCCTCAAAGGGATAGATGTCTTTGGGTTCGCGGTGCATGCATCGGTATCCCCCTCTTGCTGAGGCCAAAGACTAAAAGAAAAGAGAAATTCCATTTCAGAGTTCTTTCCAAGTCCATTTCAAGTTGCCTAGGGTCCCCTGTTTATGCAATGCAATTTTCAATACTCAATCCAATTTCGATGCCCATTCCCATTCCCATGCTCAATCTCAGTCCAATGCTCAATGCAATATCTTTTCCAAGGCTGAGTCCAATATCTTTTCCAAGGTTAAGTTCAATATTTTTTTCACTCTCAACTCTTTCCAATCTTATCCAAGGCTCAACTCAATGTCTCTTTCAAACTCAGCTCAATATCTCATCAATATCTTTTCCAAAGCTCAGCTCTTCCAACATCATGCATGTCAAGCAGTCGTGCAAGGGGACCCGAGTGCCGATTCCAAAGAATGACCCTTATCAGGGGCCATTCCGAACAACCTGGTTAGGGTCGTTCTTTCCAATTCCAAGTCGAACAGCCTGGTTAGGGCCATTCTTATCCATTGCAATCAGACAGCCTGGTTAGGACCATCCTTATCCATTTCAATTGGACAGCCTGGTTAGGGTCATCCTTGTCCATTTCAATTGGACAACCTGGTTAGGGTCATCCTTGTCCATTGCAATGTTAGCGCCCGAGGGGGTGGGCCTCGAGGACACAGATCCTATCTCGTCTCGGGGGTTAGGAGGTGGCCATCGTCTTGGGTTTTTACGCATGCTTCTTCCTTTTCCTCATGCCTTTTGTCATTCTTACATCCATGCATACATCCGACTAGCCCGCCCGGCCGTTCAACCATTACAAGGGCTGCTGAACCATTTCGATGTTTTCCTGCCACTTTTCTGACTTCTCATATGCTTCTCAATGCTCTGGGATTGCCTAGGGTAGATTGGATTAGGCTCCTAGGGGAGAGGGTGCCTCTCTACCCATAGGTCCCCTAACCTCTCACAAGGACTCATGGAGCGACTCATTCAATCATGGATACATAACTCAAAGGAAAGACTTTCGTCATGAATGTTTCTTCCAACGTTCAAGAGTTCACATGCCGCTGCCCGTAAACTCAACCAACCCCCAATCCCAAAAAGCTCATATTTCCCAAACAGAGCGAGTACTTATACAAAGTAGCCCTGATCACCCACCCTCTACTAGCTCCCTCAATCCAAAAAGTAGTTTCATTGCAGTCCTTACAAGGAAAAATAAGGAGACAAAGTTCGAATGCAAAGACAACATTACAGACTCGTCTTCGTCTAGATCACCGCTGTTTCCCCTTTTTCTTTCCCTTAATCTACCCAGCCATCCAGTCCTTAGTCACTTCGAGCTTAAAAACCCTCATGCCTTTCCTTGAAGAAGCAACCATTCGTACGAAGTAGCGCTGACTACCCAGTCCTTAGTCACTTCGAGCTTAGAAAATTCATTCACAAAAGGAGTTCAAGTGCGAAGTCCAAAATGGCAGCTCCGACTGCCCAAGGACCAAACCCTCCCGACTCCTAGCTATTCCTCATTACGGCTGTTGTGCCTCTATCATCCAGGTGGCCTGCGTTGAGCCTCCCTCCTTGCGTGATCCTCCATTTCCTGCTCCATTCGCCTCTTTATTCCTTGGAACTGGGGGAGTGTCCGTTCTGTGAAGAAGGTTGTTGGGGATAGATCCTCTCCCCTGCCCAACTTTTCCCTTGCCTTCATAATCCATTGATATCGCAAGATAGTGCCCCATTGATCAAACCAATCGCTGAACTCAGGTCCAAACTCTTCTATCCATTTGTCCTTTTTCTCACCCGGCTTCTCCACTCTTCCCCGTTCTTCCCTTGTGGGCGTTGTTACCTCATCTTCCTCCTCGTCGTTGGTGAGGTCGATAAACTCCACGGGCACGTCCTCCTCCAACCTTGGCCTTTTTCCCGAGTTCCTTTCTTCCTCACTGCTGGTGTCACTTTCCGATGGGAGGACTATTGGCTCCCCCTCCCTTGGTGGTGAAGGTCCCCTAGTCCCTTGTTTTCTCCCCCCCCCTGTTCACAACCAAGTTGTGATCAAACCCCACGTACAATTTCCTTTTCCTGGAGCTCGATTCTCCAGCCTGCCTCGACGATTGTCCCTCAGTAGGCCTATTGATGGCGTTGCTGTCGTTTTCATTTCCAAATTCCATTTTTGTCGTTTGCTGTTTGCTCCCTGCCTGGTCCTGTTTATGCATAACAATCACCACAACTCCCCCCCCATACACTCACATTCCTTCCCATCCCCATTTGCAGATTTGTCGGCCTTCTCAGAACCCTTGCTTGCCCCCGCGCAGTTGGTGATCCCATCCTCCCTTATACCCCTAAGCACAT